TTTCTTTGTTTTACAGGGAAGGGATGCATTTTACCACTATGCAATGTGAACACAACTTGCCCATAGCCTGCACCTGTACAGAGCTTGGAAACACCACAGAGTTTAATTAAACTAAGCAAGTCTGCTGTAAGAGATTTTGGAGAACATTCCTCACAACTGAAAATAGTCTACAAAGAAAATTAGGCATTAGACTACTTCCTGCTACGACATCCATTTGTCCACAGTTATTCAACCTTACTGGATAATCTGCTACAGATTAGTGGCTGAACTCTGACTATATAAAGCCACAAGTGCCATGGAGTGGGGTGTGCAGCCTGGCATTCCAGCTGCCTAGAAATCCTCAGGAGGCTTCAAAAAGATCAGCAGTGCTGGCCTGTCTAAAGACCTGCCTAAATGCTGCATGTCCCTACAGAGAGCAGTGGAAACTCAACACTTGAGGACAACAGGAGGCTACAAATTTACTATGCAGAATGTTCTGCAGCAACATGCTCAGCTCCTTGTGGAGATATCACTCCTTGGTGCTTTACTAACTTCTGTCCTGTGGCAACCAATTGCACACATAGCAGCTGAATTCTAGAATAGTAATAATACACAGTCCTATGCTCCAATTTCATCACCTCCAGCAGAATTTACATGGAAAAAAGCACCAGCATTCACAGCCTATCTTCCCTGCCAAGATTCACTGCCCCCTGAAGCATCTGAATTCACCACGCATACCCACTAGACCATAACTTCTACTAATTACCTTAACCCTCCTTCTGGGCACATGTGTGAGGCATTAACTTTCCTTCTGAGATGTTGATCTGTGCAACCTAACCCAGCCAACAAATAAAAACTTAAGGACTTACTAAAGTCATGACTAACAGCATGATTCTCCTGCAGCACACTGTCAGGCACTGCACAAACTGCTTTGTAGTTGGTTTATTATTTTTACAGGGCAAAGGAGAAAACTACATTACACTCCTGAAGTTAAAATACTTGTACCAGAAGTAAAGCTTTTAAGGTAAATTTCTCCCTGCTTTCCAAGATTTAATTTTATCCATGTGACAAACTAAGGGTAGTCTAGACTCCTGAGCACTGAAGCAGAGCCACTACACAGCAAATGTTTTAACTGGGCAGACAAGTGCTCAACTGTTTTGACATCAAGCTAGGAAAGAAGAGATATTTCACAGATCAAAGTTCTTTTGGCTCCTGTTAAAAGCAATAAAATTTACTTCACTAATTGGCCTAGAAAAAAATGTAGCAGAAACTGTTTGAACACTATCCCATGAGAATGGCTGGAATTTTTACAATATACAGGGAAAGTTTGCTGGAGATAAAGACACCACAGAGAAATAGCTTAAACAGACCAGCACATGCACAAAACACCTGGCAGGTACACTGAGTTTTCATTGACTTCTGCTTTTATTTCATGTAAATCAGGGCACAGACCAGAAGAACATTTACACTTTAAGCCACAACCAAATTGCATCTTTCCAACTCCTATACATAGGCAATACTAATAATTTCCTAATATACAAAGGAAGTTTTCCTTACTCTAAATCAAGATGATAATTTCTCCCTAGTGAAACTAAATGCCTTATTGCTACCTTATTCATGAGAGCTTTTCACACACCAGAAGATTCGGGAATATATTCTGTCCAAATTGGAATGGAGAGTAGTTCAGCATTATTGCTGTATATTGTCATTTAGAACACCAAAAATCCACATACCTGGAAAGCTTCTGTTTTCTCCCACACTCCCTATTTGGTTTAAGGCATATGCAAGTTTTGTTTTCTTCAGATGTTTTCCTCAAACATCAAACATTTCCTGGGCTTATTAAAATAGCTATTCCCTTTTCCAAACTGCCCAAAGCACTTTAAAATATTTGCTCAAAACTGGACATAATACTCCAGCTAAGATCCCTATTAGCACCCTTAGGAGAAGGGAATTGTCAGTGTATCCCTACTACTATTACGGCCTCAAACATATTTGATAATGACTGAGACGAAGTCTCACTAAGAAGCAACACAGTGATCCAAAAGAAGTGGGTAAAACAACCTAATTAAATATTACCTATAAATATTTAAATCTAATAATTTAAATATTTCTGTGACTTACAAAAGAATTTACATCAGCTAATTCTGGTAACCTTGAGTCACTTTATAAAGGGTCTTCACTATACAGACCCTTATAAGAACAACAGAAATACCCAACACTTAATTTTACACTTATTTCGGTAACATTTAATTGTATCATTTTTTTCCCCTTCCTAGGCTCTTTAAGCTCACAATATCCTTCACAGGTATGACAACTCTTTCACTGATAATAAGTTAAGAACAAGGACTCAAAAGCCACATCAAAACAAATTACTCTATACATCCCATCTATTGCAGTTCCACAGAAGCAGGTACCTGGCCTTGTCAGAACAACTCAGACTCCCCAAGAAAGATCTGTACAGACAACAGAGAACGAGCAGGGAGAGCATTCAGTAAGTAATTTGGCTTCTTCTATTTACAGTGTCATTACAGAGTATGCAGAATCACTGGAGAGTGATTTGAAGCACTCAAACCAAGGTACTCAAGTCACACTTCAGTATAAAGAGCATTTATGCCAGGAAAACCCAAGTTAATGTTTGAAATCCTTATGACAGTAGTCATTAATGACCAGGTAATAGAAATATAGGGCTCTGCCTAAATTATCATATCTCTGTAATGCAGTTTGTCCCAGGGCTGAACACCAACAGCTCTACCACAATAGTTTCAAAATGTAAAATAGTATTTTACTTGATAAGTAAAAAAGAAGTTTTTTTGACTTGATAAAAAAACCTTACATTACAAATATAAAACACAGTTTTATTAAAACAAAGAAATTACTTGTAAGGTATAGTATCCTCTTAATCTGTTAGAATCAGTTGGAGTCAGATAACACCTCAAATCTTATGACACCATCTGGTGGCAGAGTTCAGAGAAGAGGATTACCAGACGTTAAAAAGAGCTTTAACAGTTTAAATTTGATTCTGAACAAATTTAAATTTTATTCTGGATATATTATGAATTTTTTCTTTACAAGATAAGGTAGAAAGAAAATGGATAGAAAAACATTTCCCCTTTACCTAGATACTACAAGCTGTAGTATCTCTGTACACAATTTAGGTACACATTTAGAGGACAGTGACTGCTGTTACTCTGTACTGGAGTCACAGCCCTGAAGGAGTTAAGATGTCTTTAGCTGACATCTCTTCAAATGTGGGACATTTTTGGACATAGGGAATAGAAGCTACCTGAAGTTTGGTCACAGTGATGAAAGTGACTTAGGTAACATACAAACGTAAGTTGGGTAAAACCAATGTCTTGTTCCAAATTGAAACTGCCAGAGTATAGCACCTATCCTGCTAACTTTATATACAAAAATCAATCATCAGTGGAACACACAAAGCAGTGCAAGTGCAGCTGCCTTGCACTGCCAGTTCACCTGAAGTTAAGCTTTAAAAAGACTTTAAAAAGAACCCAAAACATAATTCAGCTGCTTTTCACTGGAGGAACTTCAGGTTAGAAACCTGTTTTCCATGGTAAAAAGTTAGAGACACATTGCACTGGCCCTTAGAGCCTGCAATAGTAATCACAAATACTGTGGTGCTAATGGAAATAAGCTTCTAAACGTCAGCAAAGCTATTAATCAAATTTTGGAAGGCTTAAGTGTTTGTGGGGTTTTTTTAGGCCAGGATCTGTCAGTTCAGCAAAACAGCCAATTAGTTAAATACAGCAATTGAGGTTTAACTGAAATAAGCAGCAAATAACTGAAGAACAGCAACAAGCAGCAGATATATAGGAAATGCAAGCCTGGAAACTCATATTGAGAACAAAGTTCACAAATTCTCAATCCTCTTCTCTCTCAGGTCACACCACTTCAGTTCTTTAAAGCTATCACACCACTATCTGTTCTTTAAAGTTGCACTTCATCAGGTGTAGGAAGGAAGGTGAAAAAGCAAAGTTTTTTTTACTTGCATGAGAAGACTTTAACCAAATCTCCATCAACGAAGTATACTGAAATATGAACTTTAATCATCATTGCCACTTGAATCCAATGTTTCATAAACTTTTATGAGTTAACATTCATATGCATCCCCAAAGAGTTGTTAATATGTTTGGATTTGAACTACTCTGTGTGCAATGATAAATGATTATTTTCAAACACCCCATATTTCAACTTATGAACATATTATGACTTATTTCATGCTGTCAGTCCCACTCCTTTTAAGATACCAGGTATTTATCGCTGAACTAATACATGCTTTCACTACAACACATTTTCAGATATATGCTTATAAGGAAGGCAACTAAGCAGCTCTGTACTCAGTCACACTTCGTCCTCAGAAACACTTTCTGGCAAGTATGAAGAGGCAGCAGGGCAGCTACACACCTGGACAGAGTCCTCCGCTCTAAGGAAGCTGCTCTAGAAGCAGGGCACCAAACACCAGGGATCACTACAGCAATAGGGGATGCTCACAAGGCAAAGCAAAGCGCATGCCCGCCCCAAGGCGAGACGTCCGCTGCCGCAGCCCCTCCAGGCCAGGCTGGCCCTGCTGCCCTCCATAGGCCGCTCACTCCGCCAAAGCCGGAGCAACCCACATCGCCCCCGGCCGCCACAGCGCTCCCCAAGCCCTCTGCTCTGTACAGCCCCGGTACTCACGGATCGCACCCCTCTCCAGGGCAGAGGCCCGCATCCCATCCCCCTGTGGGATCGAGGAACCCGGCCAGCAGCGCCCCGGGACCGGCCGCGAGCACGGCGCCCGCACCGGGCCCACCCCGCAAGACAACGCGCCGTTTGGCGGGGCCACAGCACAGGCCACCAATGGGCCGGCGGAACGGCGGCCGCGCTGCACGCTGGGAGGCACGCCTGCGTGCCCGCGGGGCCTGCCGGGAAATGCAGTCCCGGCGGCGGCGGTTCGCCGGAGGACAGCCGACAGGCGAACGAACTTCATGGCGAGGGCACCGGCACTGGCCAGCTGGGGGCATTTACCAGCAATTAATGATAATAAAAGTTAATGTTGTTGTGTGTAAATGCAGCGCTTTAAACACGCGTAGTGCCACGTGTTAGCGCTCTACAAATCCGACGCTGCAGACAGCAGGTACCTCAGCAGCGAGACGCCGTGGACACCACGATGGGCCGGACCGGCCAGGGCGGCTGCGCCTGGGATATCTGCTCCAGGGGCGATTCCTAAGGCAGAAGGAGAAGGACGCGGGCTATGCAGTATGCAGTAAGTCTTACTCCACTGGGATCTTTCACGAGGCTAAAATCCACAGGGGCTTGACGCATCCCGAGATGCTGAGAGAGAGGAAGGAAACCAAGACCCAGCTCTTGAGATCGCAGCAGTTTCACTGGAAGAGGGACTTTAAGAGCCACGTAAGCTGATGCAGACCCTGATGCTGTAAAAGCTACCAGCTGTGCTTACAGTGCCTACAGCAGGTACGGGATATGTCAGCACCCTCAGGGAAGAATTTACCTACGCCCGAGAAGGAATATGCTTCCGGAAAGGCTGCACAGTTCAGCTACAAAGGATGGGATCGGTGATGGCCAACAGTAGCTTTCCCTTTCTGCCCTCCTTCTCTCCGTTGGTGACAGTAGGGGGCTAGCACTCATAGTCCTAGTAGAGAGTAGTAACTGTAGAAAAACCCCACTGATACAAAAAGGGCCACTTCTGTAGTGCACTGTTTGCTGCCGCAGCTGCCGTCAGCACGGCCGGACCGCGGGCCACCACACGTGCAGCCCACACCCGGCACTGACACCCCGCACACCCCACACGCCTGCACCGCCTGCCCTAAGGGGGAGTGTGGTAGTTTAGATGGAGGGAAGCAGGCGCAGCAGCCCAAGTGTGCCGCCATGCTGGGTGTACACAGGCCGGCGTTCCCGCCCTCCGCCGTGTGAGGCGCCGGGCGCGGCTCCTTTCTGCCGCCACATTGGGAGGGTAGAAGGGCGGGGTGGGGCCGGGCTCGCTTCCGGGGGCGGCGGTGACGCGCGCGGGCCGGCGCTCGGCAGCGGGGACGGGCGGGACATGGGAGCTTAAAGGGGTGGCCCTGCCCGGCGTGAGGGAGCGGCGGTGGCAGTGCCGGTAGGTGTGCGACGGGTTGGGCTTTGGTAGCTTTCAGTGCCCCGGGTAGGGTGGTAGGCTCTCTTATCCGGTCCGTTTCCTCCTCCGTGCCGCGTAGCTCTCTGTGCGGGGCAGGCTGCGGCTGCCGGGGGCCTCTGTGGGGCGAGGCGGGCCTGGCGCGGTCCGGCCGCGCTGGCCCAGCGGTTGCTGTCTTGTATCGACTGCTCGGGGTAATGGGGCGGCCGGGGCGCCGGGCCCGGGTCCTCCGAGCCCCGCTTCAGCTGTGGTTGCGCCCGCCCCCGTGTGCGGGGAGGCCTCGTGGGCTCGCCCCTACCGGGGGCGGCAATGCTATGCCCAGGTGGCTTTTGTTTTTGCTTGGCGAGAGCCCGTGAATTGCGCTGTTAATAGGGTCCAGGAGAAAACCCACCTCTTGTTGCTTTTTCTTAAACTTACGTATTGCGTCCTGCTGCCTCTAGACTACACTGTAAGATACTGTAGAGTTAATGTAGTAAATAACAAGCATCGAAGTGCTTTTTGTGCTTCTTTCACTTGTACGTCTCGATTCAATGCCCTTGGTCCTGCTGGGAATACATTGGGTGAGTCAGCTTTATTTTTCGCTTTTTCCTCTTTTTTTTTTTAATCTTTCTGTTTCATTTAATGTGAAGTCAACATATGACTTGACTCTCTAAACGACCTAAAGCAACTTCGGAAATTTCTTTATGCAACCTCTCTAACTGTTTGCCTTCTTTTTTTTTTTTTTTTTTTTTTTCCTGAAAAAGGACACTAGATGCTCACTGTGTAGAACTAAGGGTGTCGCTTTACTTCCCCTTCATAAACAAACGTGATTCTGTGCTGTAGAGGGAACAGCTATGTAGGAAGGTATTTAGGGACAAAGAAAAAGCCTCTTGTGATATCAATTGCTTGATCTAATTGAGCACTATATTGCTTACTGGTGGTCTAGTAGCCAGTCTATATGCCTGACCTCTGCTCTGCAGTTTTCGAAGTAGGTTGTTATATAGCACAGTTTGCGTCTCTAAGAGAAATGGAATCTATTACTGTCAATAAGTGGATCAGAGTTTGACTTTGAATTTGTATTGGCTAGTATCTGATTTGGAGGAGGTTTCATGAGGCCTTTTCAGGGACAAAAGTGAGTTATTGAGATGAGTGTAGAACTGAACACACTGCACAGAGGAGGTGGCATTGGTAGCGCCTATTCTTTGTGCTATCGCCTCTGTGCAGTGTGTTCAGGAAGCTGATAAGAGAAAGCAGGAAGCATGCAGAGTAGTGTCTTGGTCGAGGGCCCGGGTCTCTTCCTCTAGGGCCACATATGTTTTATTTATTTTATTCATTTCTTGTAGACATAATCATCTGGAGGAGTACATTCTGGTGCTGATACCTTGTGCCACTCTGCATTAGCTGGGCTGAATTTCAACTAACTAGCAATTAGGATAGCTGTTTGTGTTAAGGAAGGGTTTTAAAAAAAAACCAAACTTTTATGTGTTAGTGATATAAAGACTATGAGAGAACAAAAAAACCCCATCACCAAACACAAAGCTGTCTAAATAAACTGTCTAATTTTGACCTTTGCAAGCATGCACAGGTCAAATTCTTACTTAAAATTCACATATGTAAGAATATTGTTTCATGAATTCTTCCATCTTTTGGAGAAGGAAACAGCTCCCTTTACAATAGAAGGAACTGAGAGCATCCACAATCACCTGAGGCTGTACCAATTCACCGACAGCTAAAAATACAGCTCGTGAGATACTGGCTTACGAACTCAGTTGCTGCAACAGCTGAGTTGTATCACCAGCTAGTTCCTATCTTTGTGGTAAGAAGGCATAGGCTGTATTTCTCAATCATACTTTTAGATTAACTGGATAGGCTATTTCCTTCTCCCTCCCCCGCAGTTTACAAGTTAACTTCACAGCAAAAGGGGTAGGTGCAAATTGAGGACTTTCAGGTGGTGAGTAAGGAACTAGTTTATTATATGTAGCAAATGTAATGGATATATGACAAATTTCTGAAAGGCATTCAGCCCATCAGAGGTACAGAACTGCTGCTTGTCAGCCAGAGATGCAGGACAAAAGTCTTATTCAGGGTGGGTTTGTGAAAGTGCCAACAATCAAAACAGTATTGATCTGGTACCAGTAGACCTGCTGGCTTTAGAAAACTTGTCACTTTTATTAGCCTCTCCCTGTCCAGATGTGGACAGTGGAATTTGAGTTGAACAAGCACTTTATCAGGCTTTGTGGCACCCTGCAGTTAATTTAAATTCATGAAGATCAGTAAGGGTTTTGAGTACTTTGAACAGCACAGCCTTAATGTGCTGTGGTTGCAATAAAGCAAGGAATTAGATTTTCTTTTTTCCTAGACACATTAAGCAGTGGAATTGCTTCTCAGCTAAGTGCTGAAGAAAAGCATATTTAAATCATGTAACTTGCCTACTATAGTTTTAATTACTATGGATGTGTCTTACAAATCTCAGGAGATCACTGGTATTAAAAAAAACCTTGAAAATGCTGTGCAAAGTCACTCTTGTAATGGCTTTTGAAACTTGTGTACATTGGAAACTGAGTGTGTTGGTAAAAGAGCTGGCTTCCAGTTGGCAAGTAATTCTGAATGGAAATGGAAACGCAAGAAAAACAATTAGTGGTGCAGTGGAATTTTTTAGGCCAATGAGAGAGACAACAAAAACAGATTTCATGTTAATTTTTTACGGTGTGCTTTGGGAAGGTGAGTGACAGAGACAATTAGGTTGTTGCTGCCTGCATACAGCAATGCTTTTATCTCAAGGGTCTTTTCATTCAAATGCTTTATTACCTCCCACCAAAGTTTTTAATGTGCCTATTGTCAGGAAACCCAGCCAGTGAACTGCTGTTGGATGAAGAGGTACTTCCGTAGCTTTCTGATCACAAGCAGATGTTTAAACCTGGGGACACATAAATGCAGACAGGTCACCATGGGTGTTCCTAACACTGAATTTGTTCTTCTCCCACCCTGAAAGTTCTGCCTTGGCAGGTGTTTGCTCAGTTCAGTAGATAGGGTTGGGACAGAGCTCAGTGCTTGGGACTGATCCACTTCAAATGTGGCAGTGTGAGCAGTGATTTTCCCAAGCAAAAATTTGCACTGTACTCTCAAGGGATCACCCTACATGCTAATAGAGACCTAGCCATAGCTCACATCAGTCTGTGTCACCTTCCAGCTTTTTCAGGTTACACAAAGAACTTGCTAAAATGCTTCAGCTGCTCTGTGAGTGTTGATTAACAAAATTAAGGTCTCTAAGGCAGTGATGCTTTGAATGGACCATGATAAAATCAGCCCAAAAGTGCTTGTTGTGTCCCTCGTTATTTTGCGATAACCTTTGCTTTGTCTTTTTCTCAGTTATCTCCAACCTAACAACTTCACATAGGAGAGTGAATTCAAAGGTTTTTAGGGTTTTTGGAGCCATGACCAAATGGATGGTGAGTGGAAAAAAGGCTGTGCAGACATAAGTTTGCTGCTTCTTGTTCAGGAGGTAAAAGCAACTTAAGCCTAATACATCCCCAATGCTCATCCTCTGGATTGAGCAGCAGTGTTTTAGTTATATGTATTATAGTGGTGAACTTGCAGGATTGCTTAGTGCAACATGAGTAGTCTTGTGAAGAGATCTAAAGCTTTATGTTGGAATTTCAAAGAACTTTTTCTGTCCTGTACAATCTTCCAAATAAAGCATGGCAGTAAAAATCTTATTTCTTCTTCTTATTATTATTAGGTTCTTATTATTTGCTGGCCATGCATCTGTTTCCTTGCTGTTCTGGTTTCTCAATGAATCTTCCTTTTTATAAGGCAGTGATAGTTAAGGTAATGAGTGTGTTGTAGTCTTTTTCCTCGTAGGAAAGTTTAATGACCCTGGTTACTTTGAGAAAATACATATTTGTAGCAAGTCTAGTTTTGCATACCCTGCAGGTATCAGACCTTCCTATGAAAGGGGCAGAAGGGGAGTTGTACTGAAATGTGTTTAACTGAGCAAATACTGCAGAAAACTGATAACAAAAAGTAAACAAAACTGACATCACATCCTTCCTTAAAGGAGTACTGCTTTGTATTTAGGCACATTAGATTCTTGTTTAAAACTTGCCAGTCTAGAAAGAAAATTAAGCAAAAATATCTTTGTAGGCTTTTGTCTTTTTTTACTTTGGTTATTTTGTGGCTAGGATTTTTTAAATGGTAGGAGCAGGAAAGCAAAGAAAATAGACATTGAGCATCAATGTTAACATCTGCTAAGGCAAGCATTTAGTTTATCATAACAAAAGTTATCATAGCCATATGAAGTTTTTTCTCTCTGTATACTTTATCTTTGGGTAATCTTAATGCCTCATGTATAAAATAATTTTGTCATATACCATTAGCATAAGAGCTGGATACCTCAAAGGATGCTTTATAATTCCTAGGCAGAAAGATGGAGAAATGAGTATCTTTTCTTATGTATGTATACTGTCTTCTATTGGAACAGCTGAGTTATTTCAGTACAAATGGTCTCACTTGGGCTGTTAAAATTTCTTTTGAGATTTCTTGCATGAAAGGTAGCTGCTATGTTCAGCTATTCCAATTAGGCCTGCAACTATTGAGTGTGTATTTACGTCTTTAGAAACAGCCTATTTTGGAAATGTTTTGTTTGTTTTAAATTAGTGTTGTGTGATTTTTTTTTTTTTAATGTTTTAAACTGCTGTGTGGTGAGAAGTCTTTATTGCCTAGGGAATGTGTTTTCCTGTTCTGCCTTAAGGTACTAATGGCCTCTGCAGAGCTACCATGTAGGTTGTGTCTGTACTTACAAAAGCAATGCAGCAAACTAACAGGAATAAAGCTATGGGTTTTTTTTACTCTAATGCATTTGGCTTGGATATTCAACTTTAAACAGACATAATAATCAAACTAATTCAAAAAGCATGCTTTCTTATGCCTGTCTTAATAAGGAAATCTTAATCTGTATTGTTTTATGTATCTAATGGCAATGTCTGAAAAGTGAAGGTGGGTCAGCTTGTCAGGAAGTCTAGAGAAAGAAAGGTTCTGTCACTTTTCAGTGACATAAGACCTCAAGAAATTATCAGAAATGTTCAGCAAACCTATCTATGATGAAAGGTTGTCAGAACTTTTCTCTTAACCAAGTATTCTGCATGGTTTTATTTAGCTTACTCACACAGGTAATTTATCCTAGCAATTATATGAGCCATCACTTTAAATTATTGTTTTATCTCATAAGAGGCAAAGCACTGCAGGTGTCCAAATATGAGCATCAGAATATAAGCACATGCATACCTCAGCTTTGAAGAATCCTGGAAGTAACTTCTTTTCCTTCTGTGTCTGCTGTGTTAAAAGGGTTTTTCCTCCACATCTTGAAGCTGGATTTCTTCATTGTTAGACCAATTTATAAACAGTTTCAAGTCCAAATGCTATTGATTTAGGGTAGAAGCGAGTGGAATGCTGTGCGTTTCTATAGAATTTCTTGCTGGCTGACAGTGGAGCTGTTTAGGAAGATATAAGCAAGCTAGGGGAACACAAAGCCTGTCTGTCAGCTGTTGGAACTGGTTTGATGATGACACAAAGCTGGGAGGAGTGGCTGATGCCCCAGAGGGCTGTGGAGCCTTTCAGAGGGACCTCAACAGGCTGAAGAGATGGGAAGGGAAGAACTGTCTGAAATCCAGCAAAGGCAAATGCAGGGTCCTGCACTGGGGAGGAACAACCCAGGCACCAGCACAGGCTGGGGGTGACCTGCTGGAGAACAGCTCTGCTGGGAGGGACCTGGGGGTTCTGGTGGACAGCAAGGTGTCCCTGAGCCAGCAGTGCCCTTGTGGCCAAGAAGGCCAGTGGTGTCCTGGGTGCATCAGGAAGAGCATTGCCAGCAGGTGCAGGGAGGTGATCCTGCCCCTCTGCTCAGCCCTGGTGAGGCACACCTGGAGTGCTGTGTCCAGTTCTGGGCTGCTCAGTACAGAGAGACAGGGAGTTCCTGGAGTGGGTCCAGAAAAGGTCTACAAAGACAATTAAGAGAGTGGAGCATTCCTCTTATGAGGAAGGGCTGAGGAAGCTGGGCCTGTTCAACCTTGAAAAGAGACACCTGAGAGGGGGACCTCATCGATGTCTGTCAGGATCTGAGGGAGCTGTCAGAGGATGGAGCTAGGCTCTGCTCGGTAGTGCCAAGCAACAGGACAAGAAGCAATGGAGAGAAACAGATGCACAGGAAGTTCCACCAGAATAGGAGGAAAAGCTCCTTTACTGTGCAGGTGACTGAACACTGGAACAGGTTGCCCAGAGAGGTTGCTTAATCTAATTCAGTGAAAATGGATACTTTCTTCCCTGTCCCATGTTTACTGGTCCTTAACTGTGCAAATCAGCTTGAAGGGAGTTCCCAAATTAAAAGCTGGGACTGCCTCAAATAAATCTTATGAAAGGAGCTTAAGTCTGAATGAAGAGATAATTCACTGATTATACACTGAAATTGGACTACTGAAAACAGTGTTATTTAGAGGCTTTATGTGGGGATATATATGTATTTTGAAATTTTATTTTTTTATTTAAATGGTAACAAAAATTTAAAAACTTGCATTGACATCTACTTTAGAAAAATCTCCTGGAGCCATAGTCTCAGGCTATGCTAGGTGCTGAAGACCAAACCTGCTGGAATATTCTTTAAATCTTGAAGTACAGCTGTAAGGGATTTAAGTGTCTTGGTTTCAGTTCACCATCAGAGTTATGCACACTTCCTGTGAAGAGGTAACAGCTGGGCAAATCTGCATAAATTTACCCTCCTAGGAGCAATTACTTAAATATTCTAAAATACTGATCTCGTAGGGGAAAATGGATCAAATCAAGCAGGATGTTTGGAATTATATCCATGGGTAATGTAAACTTAATTAAAAGCTACTCATGTGAAAGATCAAGGATTAGTTTAAAATTAAGGGGGAACATTTTGGGGGAAAAATATCCTCTTCTCAGCTTATGTGCTATCTTACTAAATTGTATAGCCTTATCTTACTAAACTGTATAGCCTGTGAGTTCTGTTTTTCCATTGCTAGGAGTGGTGGCTTTATTACCATTCCTCCAACAAAAAATTAAGATTCTTAGCTCTGAAAAACACATCTCTGATAGGAGCACTCTTATTTATGGGATTGCTTATTCATCTTCTATTTTAGGCAAAATGTATATCTTCTGTTTATAGCAAAAGGTAAATCATGGTGTGTTGAGACTGCAGTTATGACCCTGTGTTTATTATGAGAAAGCTAGATTAGAAAACCTTTGCCACGGTTGCAGACATAGCAGTTGAAACCTTTGTGAATCCTTTTGAATTTGAGGAATTTCCTATACAAAAACAACCACCATTTCTGGAGCGTTACTTGGGTCATTTTAGGTGGTGTTTCATCTGTGAGAACATTTCCCCCTTTTTCTGACTATTGCAATTCTGCATTGGAAATAGAAACAGCACTTAAACTTTATACTAATAACTTAAATGTCTTAATGAACTTATTTCTAGATTGCTGGGCGAACCAATGTGTTTTTCCAGCACGGAGAAGCTTGTTATTTTAAGACCTTATTTCCTGGTTTCTAACTAACAATAGAATTTTTTCAAAAATGTTTAGGAAGCCAAATCTTGGAAAGAAAACTGCTTCATATCCTGGTTGTTCCTGTATTTTTTAGCTCCTCAGCTCATATCAGCTGAATAATTATTTTAGTGTCTTCTAGTCCTAATGAGATGTTTTACTACACAGAATGAAATGTATAGGCACTCATTCTTTGAACTATCTTCTAGTTTCAACTCAAAATACTGATGAAAGGATAATTCTGATGCTTACTTTGTGTCTGTCATTACAGGAGGAAGGTTCTCTTTAACGTGGTTCCTTAAAAGTAGTATTTCCTCATCATGGATGAGCTATCACCTGAAGAAATTCAGCTGAGGGCCAACCAGGTCACTGATGAGGTACATATCATAGGAAGACATCTGGGATTATGGTACTCATCTGACAAGATTATAACTTTTAAAAATAAAGACAGACCAGGATAATGGTTCTGCAAGGGTATAGCTGAATGTTTTAAATTTTCACTTTAGCTGGTGAATACTGGAGTGAAGACTACTCCTAAAAATGAGACTGGATTTTGAAGTCACTTACTTAATTGAGTATTGATCACCCAGTCCTGATTACTGATATTATGGAATTTGCTTACAGCATTGTTAATCATATTGATACTTCATGGCTTTCTTATTTAACTAAAATTCATTTGAATATGTCATGTTTTATGACTTTCCAATGGGATAAGAAAAATAATAGCAAGGACGGAAAACCAAGAAAAACTAATGTGCTGCTACTATGAGCATGTATTAAATACAGACAAGGCAATGAACCTTTTGTATACTATTGCCTTACTACAATGAACTGGCAGAGGAGACTTTCAGACACTGATGTGTATGTAAGTAATTAATGCACTCATTTTAAAATTCTCTTTCTAGTCTTTGGAAAGCACAAGGAGGATTCTTGGCTTGGCCATTGAGGTAAGAAAAAGATTTTGAATTCTCTGGATTTATTGAGTATAAAAAGCAGCATGTTTACTGCCATTTTAAACAGTTTTTTTGTCTTTCTGAAGACACATGCTTCATCATTAGAAGTTGCTGCTTTAATTCAGTAGTAGCATTAGAATGGCATAACCTTCATGATTTTTGCATTATATCAGATTACCGAAGAATCAATATCCTTTTCACCTGTTTTAAGCCAGAGGAGCTAATCTCCAAATGCTACAGATTACTTGTAAAAAGTCTTCTGATGGTCAGTTATGTCTTTGGCTGCATAATTTACTTTTCATAACATCTTTCATCTGTCTTTTAACTCACTTTGTCTGTGAATAGTGGAAATGTTTTGCTGTGAGGACAGTAAGGCTCAGTTGGGTGGGGTAGTAGAGTACAACCGCTCTTGGTTCTAAACAAGTAGTTCTGCATACATCTTCTTACAATCTGTTCATCAGTTTTAACTAGTAATGATACTCCTAAAACCCTTTTACATGACTTGGAACAAATCTGTATTTTGGGTTTATCAACGTGAAGTTACATGAGGCATCTACTTCTCTGCACAGTTGCAGAAGATGCTACTGTTATCATTTGAATCATCATAGCCTGATGAATACTTCTCACGCACGGGTGTTAAGTACATGTCATGAGCCAGCATAATGTCTTTTGGTAAGCTTGGTGGTTCATTCTATGCTGCCAGTTTATAGTAAAGCATGGATGCAACTTGCATGCTGTGTCCAAGACTGAGCCGGCAAAGAACTCTGCTGTAGTACACTTCTCACTGCTGAATTCTTAGGAATGGTTTTACAGGCTTTGTTTTGCTTTCTTGCATTGTGACTCCCAAGACTAAAGGCTTTGTAAGCCCTCTTGAAGGATGTAGGGATGAATGAACCAAATGCTGCTTCTCAGAATGAAGCACAACTATGTTTACTTTTCTAGCTAGATGTTGTCAGTTCAATCTGAGTATTACAATACATTTTATCATCTTGTTGTAAGGTAAGAAGAATCTCACAAAAATGCCTTAAAAACCTCACTAATTGAGATAGTAATTGAGGCACAATTCTTATCTTAACATAGCTCATAATTTGAGACTTCTAATAGCTTTACTACAGAAGTTATTCCAAGTCCAGTGCTTTATTATAAACTTGTTTGGGTTATCAAACTTGCTATCCAGACTTTCTGATCTTGCAATGCAATCTCACTTTGTATATGCAACTAAATTTCTTTCTACAGTCCCAGGATGTTGGCATCAAAACTATTACCATGCTGGATGAGCAAGGAGGTAAGTTCTTCCCTAACACTAAAAATCAATATTATATTGTAATCAGTGTGAGAAAAGAATTATCATTAAAAGAGTTGTTGCTGAAACTAAAGGCTTATTATTAAAGACTATTTAGGTGAAAATGGTATTTCCTAGTTGGTTATTCCTGTGTATTTGTTGTATTTAAGAGGTTTTGAAGTAGTTGAGAGGTAATGATAGTTACAATGTAATACAGCTCTGCTACAGAAGCTGCTTCTTTCTACCATGGCATGAATGTAACTATTTGCATTTATTCTAAAAGTAGCAACAAAAATGCTACTCTAAGGATAGGGAAGTTATTTGCAAAGTAGCAACCAAAACCTTTCACTGAATACCTTTCTTAAAAATTAAAAAAAAAATCCTAAAAGACAAGAAAGGAAAAAGTCATTTGTCTTGGTATAAAGATAGAACTGAAGCCTGTTCCTGCTAGAAAGAAATGTTAATTTTCCCCACCATCCCCCAGTCCATGTTTATTCAGGTTACTTGTTTCTCTTCTAGAACAACTAAATCGTATAGAAGAAGGCATGGACCAGATAAATAAGGACATGAGAGAAGCTGAGAAGACACTGACAGAGCTGAACAAATGTTGTGGGCTCTGTGTCTGTCCTTGTAACAGGTCAGTTATATTGGTACTTGGGCCTGGGGGTTCTAGAATATTCCCAATATTTACTGTACCAGGAGATATTAACTAATAAAAGAGCTAATTAAAAAATGCTAATTAAAAATTGGTCTCTACCAAAGTTGATTGTTTTGGTTTGTAGAGCTGCATCCTTTTAAAGTTGCATGAGACTAACTGAAGTTTACTTGTATCTAACCATACACTGTGCCACTTTTACTCTAAGTATAGCTACTATATAACATCCTGCACAGTTGGGTCCTAATCTCTTTGAGGCTTCAATTTAGTAGAAGACTATGAATGTCCATGCAGATGAGACCAAATTGGACTGCAAATAGCTATATATATGTAAGTGCCTGTCTGTTAGAAATTTGATTCCAAAAATAATTTTTTCACAACAGTACTTTTGTACTAATTTAAAAGCAAGCCACCTTATGTTTTGGAGAAGCAAGTTAATATTGGTTCTCTAAGCATTTGAAAAATATTCATGCTTTAGGGAGGGTGAGAGTAGAACAACAGAGCAGACACTGGTGTTAAAGCTTTAATCTTTTCACTAGTGACTACATAAGTTCTTGCAGACCTGCTTCACAGTACTTTTATAACATCAATGTTATGGCTGCCATATCTAAGTCAGTTCAGTAATCTAATCTTTAGTATGGCATTTGATTTGTACTTTTAAACAAGTAAACAGCCTGAACAATGTCAGAATTAATTTTGATGGTGTCCTAGCTTTACCTTTAAGCAGTAAAGTACCGAATTGTTTGTGTTAGTTGGGTGTGATTATAGCCCTTCCAAATGAAGGAGGCAAAAATTGAGTATGGTGACTGAAATGAATAGTGTGTGCATTTGTTGGTTTTTGCTCTTTAGCATGAGCAAAATCCATTCTCATTCAATGGGGAAGTAGCAGAAATTTAGGTAAAAATGCCTCATTGGAGCCGAGTCTTCTTAACCAACAGAATAGTACTTTAATGGTCATGTAGGATAGATATGAGTGTGAGTTCTAAGGCTGAAAGTCTTAGTGCTTTAGTCCCTTGAAAATGCAGATGTCCTGACCTCTGGATAGTTGAGCTTACTGCTTTATATTTGTTGGCTCAAGCTGGTGGACTTTGAGCAGTTTGGCACACTCAGTCTTTGTTTTCTGTAGTTGATAGTCTTATTTCACTGAAGCTAAGCAGCTCATTGACGCTGAGCAAGCTCAGTATTTGAGAACTCTTGTGGCACTCCAAGTACACAAATAATGAGAACAGAAATAGTTGTGTACCAAACTGGACAGTAATGTACAGGAAAAAATGGGTAAGTAGAGGGCAGCAAAGAAGGAGTGCGTGTCTTTCATGTGTCTACTGTTACACCAACCCTTTTATCAATGTCAGATTTACTTGCCAACCAGTTACCTCCACAGCTTTTCATATTTTTCATAAAAACATGAAGCTAAATAAGCTAAATCAGAGCATTTGCTGAACTGTTTGGTTTTTTTAAAATTTCTCTGAGGCTTAGAGTATTTATAAAAGTTTTGTGAAAGCACAAAATACTGGCAGTTCTGTTATACAATCGATGTACTAATAACAATTTACCTTTTTGTTGATCTTTACTATGCCTTCTCCATTCTCTCCTAACACTGATGCTTGCTTTCTAAAAATGAAGACTAGGATAAGAAGCTGTATTCACTTAAACTGGTGAAAGTGGATTTTAGGACAAGGTCAGTGTTAGTAGTGCAGATGCATTTTTAACCAGCTGTCTGAAGTGACGTTTCTATTGCATTAGTGCTTGCATGTGCATGATGTCTGTCTGCATGCAGTTTGCCTTGTGACTGATGTTTCATAATACTGACACGAGTAGAAAATGTCCATTACTGCAGAGGGTATTATTAGCTGTGGAAGTGGTGAACAACTGCTTGAGCCATTGCTGGTTTGACAGGTTGTGTAAATTGCTTTAGCTTTGCAGAAATGAAACTTGAGAAATGTGAATGTATAGTAATTTGTAAACAGCTCTTAAAGATAGGTGGTGAGAAGTTTTCTTCTTAACTGTGCTTACTTTGAACAATAATTCTTTTTCTGGCTGTCTACTTCACAGATGTAACTACTCTTCAGATCACTTGTTTCTATTAATAAAGTCCTCACAGTTGTCTCTGGCACCTAAGACTTTACTTCCCCATAACCAAATCATACAAAGATTTCTTCTGGTTATGGCTTTAGTATAAATGAGATAAAAGTATAATTCTCAATCTAGTTGCAGTAAACCTAGAAATCTTCGGGCCTGTGTATGTGCAAGGAGCTAGAACTGACTAGTTTAGGTTTCTTCAGGATTTTGTTGGGTGCAATATTTCCATTATGAACCGAGAAATTATTCTATATTTCCCCCTTGATATATTCATTCTAGATTACTTCTTGCAGGATCTGACCAATGAGACATAATTTCCCATATTGAATACATAAACAGCAGTAGAATGAGAGGGAATACTTGTTCATTACAGCTAATTTCACAACTCTTCAAACGTAATGTCCAGGTTAATGAAAGGCACCAAATCTCTAGAAATTGACTGCCTGTGATTTCAAAGTTAGGTGTACTGAGAGATGCTACAGATTTCCCTTCACAAGTGTCTAAAGAAGCAGAAAAATGACAGTGTCTGGATTGTCTAGCTTAAATCTGGAAATGCCACCAAACAAGGTGAACATGAGAAAATTCTCAAAATAAGTTCTTTAGGATTCATGACAACAGACCCCGATTTAGAGTTTATTTCATTAGGTTTCCTACCCCTCTTGCTTTTGTGGCTCTGTGGTTCTTGAGACTGCTTTGTGTCAGTGTGCTTTCTTTATTTTTTTTTCTCCTATGAACTACATGGAAAAATGTAATGGTAAGTTGGTTTATTGATTTAATGGAGTTAGTACAACTGAATTGCAGAATGAGCTACTTAAACAAGATTACTGTTAATTCATAATCAAAGTTAACATGAGAAACATTAACTTTTTCTGTTGCCAAGTAACTGTTAATGTTTGATAAAAAACCAGTAGCAATTAATGGTTTTCTTCCATAGTATAGGTATTTGAGGGAGTTTTTTCGTTCATCCTCACTTCTTCTTGCAAGATAACTAATATTGACTCTGGATTAATTCCTGTTAAAAGTACAACTCTATAGGGTAAGCTTTCCTGTGACTGTCATAAGTTTCTGTCCTCTGGTAAAGTATTGCTTTAAGCAAATTACTGTTCTTCTATTAAAGTTTAAGACCAAAGTAATCACTGTCCTTAGAGTAACTCAGTTGTGTTTGTACTATCAAGATACAAGGACTTGTATTATATAGATAGACAAAGTTTTATGTGTACAAAATTGAGTCTCTTTTGGGCACAAGACAAATGTTTCCAGAATTCTAGATGAATAGTGAATTTCAGTCAGAAAGCCATATTTCTAATGCAGTGGTTCAGATTTCTTATTTTTATGGAATAGGACAAAGAACTTTGAGGCCAGCAAAGCATACAGAGCAACCTGGGGAGATGGAACAGAAAACTCAGCAGATCATGTGATATCCATGCAACCAAGAAGTATAAATCGGCAGCAGCCTCAGACTTCTGGAGGACCAAGTGGTGGATATATTACAAGGTTTGCTTGTTCTTATCTCTCAATCTCAAATGCACAAATCCTGTTACTAGTTGTCAGCTTCTTTCAGATGCATTTTAGGTCAAGTTGCTAAATAGAATTTTTTTTACTATTGTTTGGAGGAATTGTTACTTTTTGGAGAGGAGGTGGCACCTTCAGTATTGTAGTGCTCATCTTACACTGCTATTTTTTTTTTTTACATAGTGGTGGTATTGTCAGTCTGTTTCTGAATGTGAGAACTATAAGGCTTAGTACTCAGTTATTGAGGGGACTGTTAAAAATATCAAGGCCTATGACTGTCATAACGTATATTTGAGAGAAACTCACAAACTCGCGTCTTAAAGCTTCTGTTAACTTGTTAACTATTTTAATTTTTAAGGCTATTTTTGTAGTAGTGGCTAGCTTAGCACTTTTTTTTGGTGAATGCTTGCTTGAAATACAGGGGGTTTTAAAAGGGGAAAAACATACCTTGGTTTTAATGCGTAGTGCAACAAACAAGTTCTACTAGAGTAAATACGGGCAGGATAAAAGCAAGTTCTTGATTCTTGAAACATTGTCTTAATTATTTGAACAGGATAACCAATGATGCCAGGGAAGATGAAATGGATGAAAATCTTGCTCAAGTTGGAAACATTCTTGGGAATTTGAAAAACATGGCTTTGGATATGGGCAATGAGATTGATGCCCAGAATAAGCAAATAGACCGGATAAATGTAAAGGTAAGTGTCAAAGGTGTTCTCTGCTTTCAGTTCAGAGGCTGGAACTCGGAGGTTATTAGGAATGCACCCACTGTATTTGCAGCAAATTTGTGGTAAGGTTATGCCATCCTCTAAGTTGCAGTGATTTGAATAAGAATTGTTCCTTGATATATATATAGGGTATATAGCTTAAAATTCAAATGCTCACATGTCAGGAAACCTAAATATACAGCACAGATTACTACTTACTCTGAAAACTAATAAACTTCATGGGATCAAAAGTACAAACATTTACTGGAGGTATACCTGGGACATTGTTGCTAATTTTTTTTTCTTGTGGTGGGGAATAGGTATTTTTAACAATAGCAAGGCTCTTCTGAAATTCCTAAAAAGTCCCTACAATGAATGTAAAGTAAAAGACAAGTAATTCATTGCCCTAATTCTTGTGGATGAATTAATATTGGAGCTTGGGAGACTTCGGAATAATGAAGTTTGTAGATGCACAGGGAAATGGTCTGCACATGAAGTTAGTCATAGTAACTTCCCTTTTTTTTATATAATTTTACTACTTAAGTGTTAGCTTTTCCAAACAGATTAAGCATATATAATACACTTTAGGGAGGTTTCTTTCCAAGGACAGCTTAATGAGGATGCTAAGACTATTTTAGAAATTCCCATATTCTGAAATTAGTAGAAGTTATTTTATAGACATCCTGGTTAAGAAAGAAAGGAAAACGTTTAATGACTAGCCTATGTTAAAGATTTCAAACAGTAGAAGTGAGCACCAATTACTGTGAAGTTATAGTATTAAGACAAAATGGGAATTTAGAAATCTCATTGAAATGTGCAGTAGGGTTTAAAGCAAGAGGGACAGAATTCCTCTAGTTTGACAAAAATGGTGGTTGCATCTGTGTCAGCATCTCAATTTTGTCTAGTAATTAAGGGACTGTGGTATTGATAAGGCAAATCAACATGATTATATGGAGGATGCCTTAACTGCCTGGTCAAATAAACTGCAAGGGGGAATTATTGTTTTTAGTAATAGTGTTTCTGGTAAATTCAAGCATTTGTTTTGGCCTGATGCTCTTTTGGTTTAGTGATTTGAATAAATCTTGCTGATCCAGTCTTAGTAATTATTAAAATATGGTGTATACAAGTTAGAATTGCTTTGCAGATGAGAATAAAAATGAAAGTGCCGTTCCTGGACTTGACTGGCAACTTGTCTCAGGGTATTTAAATTAATCTTTTTATGCTGATAACTTCCTAAATCTAGTGAACAGTATGGAAACCAAACCATATGTTGTCTGTAAATCTCCGAACAACAGTATAATGTAAAGAAACAAAGAGCAGTATTAAGTCTAACTTCAGAATAGAATTGATACTTCTATTTTTCTTTTTTTTTTTAAATTCTGATTCACCTGGGAAATAGGCTTGACTGGGTGACTTTTGGTAGTATTACACAGGACTCCTAGTCTGAATAAACCCATAATGAAGCTTACATTCCTGGATTTTTCTTAGAAGATCGAGTAAGTAGGTTACTGTTTCCAAAGTGTTGTTAACAGATTAGAGTCCCCGTTTCTGTAGTATGTTTTTGTCCCTCCCTTGCCCTTGACTTGAAAGGCAGGAAGGAGGGAACAGGAGGGAAGGACTTGAACTGCAGGTGTGCTCTGCCCAGCCCATTGCAAGACAAAGGTGTGAAATGGCTAATACTTTGGCACAGGTTGAGCTTCTTAGGACTTCCACTCCTACTGAGGGCAGAGGCTGATTTTGTGCTTATTACACTTCCTGCACATTCCCCAGAACACACTGTGTAATTGGGGCATTACTTACAAACTCCTTATCATACCTTTCAGTAAAACTATATTTTGACACTTGTTCAACTAGATACTGTGACCTGACTTTCAATGCTTTTAGTAAATTAATAATAAAATTTAACGCTTGTTCTTACAAATAGCAGATTGTTACAGCACTAGGACATTGGAGGGGAAGTGAATGAAAACTATGGATTTGCACTAAGCAAAATAAATCTAACTTCATGCCCATAGGCCCAGTTTTGACTATTGCTTACAGTTCAGAGCAACCTTGTTGCTCTGCAGAGGTCCTTAAGATGTTTAAACACTGGTAAAGAATTTTTATTCCCTTGTGTTGTTAACATGCTTCCAGACCAACTGAGGCAAGCTGCTGTGTTTTGGACGTCAGCTAAAGAGAAAAACCGTTTTCTCTTGGTTGTTTCTACCAAAATTGACAGCATATGTTGTCTAGGGAAAAAAAAACCCAACTACTTCCAGCATATAGAAGTTGCTCCCCTTCTCTCTACCACCGATGATACCTTGTAATTCAGAAGTTCATGTCAGTTTGAATTTTTAACTTGTTTTGCATCAAGTCTTCAAATGACCTATGAATTTCTCTCTTTCAGGCTGATACAAACAGGGAACGCATTGAGCAAGCGAACATCAGAGCCAAGAAACTAATTGAAAATTAAAGCCTGCTGTCATTGTTCAATGACAGCCTCTCCAGCTGCAAGCCACCATATTCATGGATCTGTGAAACTTCTATTCTGAAATCAGAGGGGCTGGGAAAAATGAAGCAGTACCCCTTCTGTAGGGATTAGTTTTCTTTTATTGCTTCATGTAAACGTGGCCTTGACTCCAAGAAAGCAGCCAACTTCATTTTACTCATCTGCCTTCACTTTCTTTAAACTGCTCAGGGCTAAAAGCGTTAGGGCTTTGAGAATCTTCCTGCATGTTTTATTCCTCTTCCCAGTTTCTTTATATTTTTTTTGAAATATTATTTTCCTGCACCGAAAATTCAGTCCTTTATTTAAGTTGAACAAGCAGGGTAACCTGAATTCACAGTTGTGGAAAGTTGGAAAGGGCACTTTGCACTGTTTGAAATACCTCATAAGTTGAGTGTCTTCACTAAAATAGGGACTACGTGAACATTGTCTGATTTGTATCTCTAGCATCTAACCATAGTTTTACAATCCAAACCACGATTGGTTTGGAGTTGAATTTATGGATCACAGAATTGAAGAGGCCCATTACTTACCACTTGTGGGTTGAGGGCTTTAAAACACTTCCTAACCACACAAACTTTAAGGTAATGGTAACCAGAGGGATATACAGGTTTCCATTTCTTTACTGTAGATTGACATCGGTTTGGAGGCCATGACTAATCATGCTGCATTGTTCTGATAATATTTGTTGTGTATATCTGATCTAAACCCCATGCACACATGTAGGAGAAGATAAAGCTGTCTCCCCAGGGTATTTATTTGATGGAAAATTTTACACCCCTTATCTAAAAGTTAACATTTAAGTGTTTGAATGATGCATCTGAACTGGAATAAACTGAGTAGAAAAGCATGCAATTTTCTTGCATCCCATATCTCTCTCTTTTGGCCAGTTTTCACTGGAGTTCAGTTTATGCCTTTCTCCAGTGCAAAATAATGATTGAGATCTGGTGCGGAGTTTGCCCTCAGCAGTGACTTTGGGGGTGCTTCTTAAACCTACCAAAACCAGAGAAGCGTATTGTAAAACTACTTTGTCACAAGTCTGGAGGAATAAGTAGCTATTTATGAGCTGTATGCTAGTTCAAAATAAACTAGTTCTAAATAGATTCCTGACTGGTTTATTATTGCAGACTTTGGGACTGGCAATTGGAAATATTACATATCCAAGCTGCTTGCAAATAAAATGTTTTTCCTCTGTTGCAGAATAGAGGAGTTTCTGACCAGATGCGGTAAAGCACTCTCCTGAGAAGAAAAATAGTTTAGTTTTACTGCAATATAAAAAGATTTTCTTGAAGTCTTGATAGTAATTAAGTTGCAAGTGACTTAGATTATTTTAACTCCACCCAGCAATATATTATGCCTTTTTTAAAGTTGAAAATGGTGCTTTGGACTAACCTTTGATACTCAGTGTTTGGATGACAAAAATCTTCAAATCAAACTGATTGGATGAATAATTAAAACTAATAGCATTATGGGGTGCTTTTTTGAAAGACAGTCCACAACTACCCTGTAGCCACTAATATTGAATCCCAGAGTCAGAGATGACACTAATCCACCAAAATGCAAGACAGTGTTTAAGTGTTCTGTTTTCTTTTTAGTAAAACTACAGTCAGTGTTACCAGTATCTTTTCAGTTGGCTGCCAGGACAACTTGATAGTTAAAGCAAAAAGAACCAAAACCAACAACCACACGCACAAAAAAAAAATAATACACAAATCCCACCAAACAAAAACCCAGCCAAACAAAAACCCCCAAAAAACTGACCAAAGGATGGGGCAGCTGCATGTAAAAATAGGCCAGTGGCAGTTTGCCTTATGTGAATAAGGTAAAATTATTTTTAGGGGACTAGATACTTGAGTAGTGTGGGTTGGCTCATCTCTAGCTTCCGGTTATTGTTGGCATGCTAATGAATTTCAAAAGTTCACTAGCTACCCAATCAGTACATGAAGATTATGTGCCTAAAAATGCAAGTAGCAAAGAAGTACTTTTAAGAACTTTTTAATTGCATAGTAAACTTTGAGAAGCCACCTGCATAGGGATTTCATATGCCCTTTTTTCCTTCGTAAAAACTTCAAATTACTTTAAGGAATATTTGCTGCTAGTTGTGAAAGCAAAGTATATGTTACTTAATTATGATTGTCTCCCGGAACAGAAGACTGAAGTGGTTACCTTATTCTGCTTACACAGTGTACAAGCCTGCTCTGTACCATTTGGACATTCCAAACATTGGAATGTTTTTCTCCCTTGCCGTTGCAAGTCCGTGTTCTTGACTTGCCTGAGCTCTCACAATAAATGAGCATGTTGGCTGATAAAATGCTGTGATTGGTGTATCAAAATCGTAATACTGTAATGAATACCACACAAGGATACAAGTTATGAGACTCGAGTACTATCGGAGTACCAATACTATTTTCTGATGCAGCAAGAGCCAAATCTGTGAGGGAGTTGATGCCTTTATGTTAGTCATAAACAGTTTGCTTCTTGGATGTCTTACTGTTGTGTATAGAATAGATGCTTAATTTCCATATCTATGGTATGAAATTGACACTTGTACATCTTTGTATGTCTGAATGCTATTAAGAATGAAGGTTTACAGTTTCTGCTTTTGATTGTTAAACTATATATTGTGCACAAAAATACATACTTTTATAACTGAATGTGTTTTAAAACTATTTTCTCCTAGAAATGTCTTTGTTTAGTTTCCTGTCGTTTAAAACCTTGGCAGAACTAGTTGCTACTATTCAACTAGGAAGTTCCATGTCTATTTTTATTTCACAGAAATCCCCCTGCTAAGAAAAGAATGGGTGTGGTTGGGAGGAGAGGAATATTGTGATCTTTAACACTTTAGTTTTGATCCTCACATAATCAACATCTCTTAAATTCACAGTGAACTGTGTCCATCTCTTCTTTGAAAGATCATGATGTACATGGGAGTATACTTCAGGATGATAAAGGAACAAAGTAAAATAATTTAAAACTTTCTAGTTAAGTAGTGGTAACAGATGACTAGCAAATAACTAGTCCAGTAGATGAAATGTAGTGATTTAACCTACTGCCACTACAATTTCATTTGTGAGGCATTTTAAATTGTATTTTCTCTCATACCAGAGCCTCACATTCCCAGAACACTCTTTAACAGTGAGGAGGTACAGGGAGAAAGACTTTTGTCGACTTGCCACAGTTCTAAGCTGCAGTAGAGACTAACATCCGTGGGAAGAGCTTGGAAGAAGTACTTCTACTGTACTATCTAATATCTACCAGATACTAGGGACACCCTGGTTCTTTAACTATTATGAGGAGGCAGTACATGTCACATGGGTACACTTAGAGGACAATAATTGGTAAATTCTAGTTAGTCTGCTCTTTGATGAAAGACAGCTTTTTAGCACAGCAGTAACTGTACTATGAACTGCAGCACATGCTGCTTGTACAGCTACTTGTAGAAAACACCTCTGTGAAGGCAATAGGGTAAAACAACTCACTGTTCACAATGACTTGCAGCTGCTAATTCACTTTGCTGCATTTGAAGCAATGCAGTGTCTAAATGCTGGTGGAATAGATGGATTAAATGTGTGTCTTCCTGAAATGGAAAATTGGACAGCAAGTGATACAGGTCTGAAACAAAATACACAAATGGTTTCTATTGTTAAGTAGGGTAATGCTCTACCTCAGTAACTCCAAAATTAAAAAGCTGCAAGTAATTATGCAGAGAAATAAAACTGGTTTATAGCTTCACTTTTTGCACAGTGGGGTTGATGAGAAGGGAACCAGGAAGTCCCAATATAAAATTACTGATAGGTTATGTAGAGTGCTGAAATGTCTAGAACAGCATTCCACTATGTGACTTAGTCACAGCTCATTGCTGTGAGTTAAACAGTCAAGGGCATCAGCCAGTTATTTTTTTCCTTGCAATAGAAATAAGTTATCCTCTGTTCTGGAACAAGTTTAGTTAATTAGGACTAACTTGGTTCCAATCAGTATTTTATGTGATGCTTTCTTCATTTTGCTCTACAAAAGCTTTGATAGCTGTCATAACTCCAAGGCAGCAAAGGAGCCTAACAATGAGAAATTGAAAGGTTTCTAAATGTACTAGTGATCACAAAAAAGAAATGTTGACTTACTTAAATACTTCCCACTAAGATTTTTTTTTTTAGAGCAATGCTAACTCCAAAATTTTCAGCAGTTCTGTTCTACCCTCTCTTCTTACACATTGTTGAATAGAAAATAACAACACTGGTAAACAAACACATTCAATGAGAGAAGCAGCACCTCTGAGTGCAGATACTTTCAGTAAAAAATTGTACAACCAAAATGGTACCACAGCACAGTATTGCCAAGTGCATACATATTGATGATAGACCACTCCTTTGGTGAATGTAAAGGGGAAATCTACTAACTGCTAATTTGTTCTGTTGATGTCTCATGCACAGCAAAGCTCTAGGGAAAAAAACCAAACAAACTAGTACTTCAAATGGGATTTAGGTATCAAGTAGAAGGAGATAAAATTTAGAACAAGTGTGGAGGCTTTATTCACTACTCAGTTTGCATGTCTTAATCAGTGGAATCCATTAGTATGAAGTTGAATAGATTTCTGACTATACACAGCTTTGCATCATGGTAAGACATAAGTGTTCTTAAAGCACTTCACTGTATGCCTTGCAAAACAAAGTAGTCTCATAAACATGGTCAGCTGTCAGCTACTTCTGTCAAGAAGCTAGTAGATTTTTTTATTAAAAAATAGCTGGAATGGGGATTCTTAAGTAGAACTGGTTCCCTGTTAAATGATGAATCACATCCATCCTTTGAATAAGGAGCTGATGTCCCCTAAAACACTCTTCTTCTAGGTATTACTATGTAAGAGCTGAAATAAGATGGCAACAGGGTCAAGGAAATAAATACCTCTCTGAGCATCTCACAAAAGAACCACTTATTTTTAATCATAATTATGGGTGTAATGTTGAAGTGTAGCTGTTACCAACAACAGACTCAAGTAGCTAAGTGAGGGCTTTCAGTGACATCTTTGTACTACTTAAAAAAATGACAAGTTACACCAAATAAACTTGAACTGATTTTTTGAAAATAATTTACTAAAATATACAAGTACATTTTCCTTTTCAGTATAAGTTACATAATTGCATACATTTTTAGCTCTTTCTAGGTGCTTTTGGTAATAAGGCAGCAGCATTGGGCTGACGACTAAAACCTTCAGCATTGCTCTGTACACAAGGAGTCAGTGCAAGGATATTATATTTTCTAGCAATATACATTTTTACTGAATACACTGAAGATGAACCTAATTTTTATTTCATACAGCTCAAGCAAAACTGGACTGTAGTGCAATTCTTGCTTATGGGAAAAGAAAGCCTGTAGTGTAAAATATAAATGAAGGATGCTCAAACCACGATTTGTTTACTGGAAGCTGTTAATAAAACATTTAACTTAATCACAACTATTTGTGCTTCATTAAAAAAAACAAAAACAACTAACACAGGTTATCAACTAAAATCTCATTTGTAAAAGTTCTTCTCTGCATAACAGTGCTTACTGCAAGACATACAGTGCATTAGTGGTAGAACTTCCATGTGCTATCATGGAAAAATGTTTCCAGAAGAAATAATCCTCTTACAAATCAACAGCCAGCTTCCTGACAAAAGGGAACTGGCAACTTTGAAATGCTTGTTCCCTTTCTCTGTGAAAGAACAAGCCCTGACAAAGGAGAACATGTAGTGTGTTAAAAGCTATTGTGGCACTAAAATCAAAACTGGCCCCTGGGCAGGTTCATCAGTTCAATACCTATATTCTCTAGTTCAAGTTTATTCAATGTGGTCTTAACAGGCTGTTTCAGACTACTACAAGAGGAGTACTCTGATCATTTCCTTCATCAGTCTTGGTTCAAATCAGTGAAGCAGATGCTTCAATTCTATGTCTTCTTACTGGTAATATACAGGGTCAGAATAGTGATCATGCAAACTTCTTCTTTGTAGCTGTAAATCGTTCCATGTACTACAAAGAAAACAAAAAAAAAATCTAAGATTTTCAGAAATTAATAGGGGATTCATTACTACTAAAAGCAGCTGAGCTTCTGCTCTCAGACTCAAAAACAGTCTGCATCTAAAGCATATTTTTATATCCCAGGCATTAGATATTAGAGATCCAACTATTAGAGCTTTAATTTTGAACAAAGACACGCCCAAAACATTTCTGGCATTTGCTGCAATTCCAATTAATGGTCAAATCTCCAGTGTTAGGGATGAACTAGTATTAAATACTTAACAAATGCTGCATAATTCAAAGCATCCCTTATTTTTTGTCACATCAAAGTGAAGACAGGATTGTCATTATCAGCTACCCTTCAAAAGATGCTGATGAAAGAACACTGATCCTGAATCCTACAAGGAAGTTATCTCTGAAGAACTCCTGGAGTTGTTTTCAGAGATTAGTTATGAAGTCAGTAGCAATGACACCACTAACAGACTATTTGGTGCTTTTATTCATCAGCATAAATGCTTAGTACTCTGAGTAAGGACTTCACCAGGAGTTTCTTTAAATACAAAAAGGCAAAAAAACCACAAACCTTGTCATAACCTTCCAGTTCTCTGAGTTTCTTGATTTCAAAGAGGTTGCCTTCTACTGCAAGCAGTGAGATCTGGGAATCACTGAGGATACTCTGAGGCAGCATGCTGAGTTCTAGACAGTTTTCTTCTAAACGCAAGACTTTGAGGCGTGGACAGTGGGAGATCTGCACTGAGATCTGGGAAATCTTGTGGAAATAAAAAGAAAAGAGAAATGGGATTAAAATGGTAGTGATCAATGATTATTAAGTGATCTGTTTCTGACTTACACAGAAAAATTACCATATTGTAAGTAGAAACTACATTAGTAGTAAGTACTTAAAAGCAATGCATAAGTAACAAATGATCAAAAATCAAAATACATTTTTTTATTCCATGATGACAAGCAACCTACACATCTGTTTATCACATTCCTACTCGAGAACTGTTCAAATAATTTTCTGCATGACTAAATCCAGAATTTTTTAGTTAATCAAATCGGGCAGTTTGATGTGTTGGTACACATAATCTAGTTATGATTCCTCATTTGTGTTGTGTCCAGAAGGTGTCTTTCAGCTATAAAGTTTTGATGGTCTCATCTTATGTTCCATGGCTGTACTAAGTTCAAGATAAACCATGTTCTAAATTTACATTCCCACAACATCTCAGTTACCAGACCTGATTCTGATTCAAATTGAGTTCGATAGCCTGCAGTTCTCCCACGGTGTCGGGGACATTTTGGATCTGGTTTTTTGAAAGATCTACCACATCCAAATGGCGAAGACCAGAGAGCTGTGTAGGCACAGTCCGAAGCTGGTTTCCAGAAAGGCTCAGGGTTTTGAGAGCCGAAAGTTGTCCAAATGCAGCTGGTAGCTGCCTCAAGTGATTGCCATTCAAGTGAAGCGTTTCCAGTTTTTTCAGTTTACACAGCTCCTCAGGTAAAGCAGCTAGAGGAAAATGACAGAAAAACGTATGACCTAAAGAACAGTAAACATTCACACCCATTTAATTCAAATAAGCTTCTGCAGGGAGAACAGTGCTATATTAAGTTATTTCTTACTGAATTCCTCCCCAGTTTCCAGTGAAGGCACAGATAGATCCCTGCAGAGAAACTTAAGCCCACAGACAACACGTGCTTGTTAACCATCATCTATAAATGTATCAAAAATAATCTGCAGACAAGGCAGACCTTCAAATTATGGCCTGAAATCACTATTCAGAAGATTTTAGCCTGTCAGTTATAGTTATTACTTACACTCTGCCAACATGTTCTATGACACCTGAAATACCACAAAATTCACAGCTCCATCTTTGCTCTTTAAAGGTATTAGTCAACTTCCTCAGAAATTAGTTATAATTCATTCTGTGTCATACCAGCATACAAACATCATCAGGTAAGGTCTGCTGGCATCCATACTCTGTCCACCTACATGTGGGTATAATTCATGAGCTGCACTATAGAGTCAGTGAAGTTTGTAAATTACCTTTGTTTTTTCAAAAAGGCAGATAATACATAGTTAAATAAAACTTTATAGCATAAAACCCCTAGTTTCTTCATCATGATTTTTTTCATTATGTTAATGTTTAACAGAAACAGTAGCAACCAGCAACACTCTACATGTCATCTTCATTACCCGTTCTCTTGACAAATACTAAACCATCTGACACTGTTAATCCCTCACATCAGGTTAAGTCGCAGCGCAGAACCTCTGTGGGTTTAAGTACTCATGTAAAATTGGTAATACACTAAGCCACTAAAGCTAATTCTACAAAACTAGTTTTGTAGAATTTATGATTTAGAGGTTCTTTTCCTGTATATGAATTCCAAAGATTTCAATTTAGGTGACCAAACTCCTCATTTACATCTTGTGAGAGTTATATAATTAAATTTAGTTTTTGATAGAGAAAATGAGTTAATATCTTAAAACTCAGTGGAGATATTAATTAGCAGGCATACTTAGTTTGTTGTTGTTTAGAGCAAGGCTCTTCAAAAAGGAAAATTTTCCAATGAGAGGTGGCAGGAGCTCTATTTTGTTGTTCGACAAGTCTATTGTCCTTAAGTTGCTTGTTAGCTTCTGCAGATCTTCAGGAAACTATTGGGGGAGAAAAAGATACAGCATTTAAAAAGCTGACACAAATTTGAATGTTCAAGTTGCACAGCTTAAAATTTTAATTGTCTCACTGTTACATACCGCCATATGTATCACAATTCCAATCACCACACTGTGATTAGCAAATTTGTTTAACCCATATTTTTAAAAATATTTTTTCATCTGGGAAGCAGAAAGGGGTATAAAGAAAACACTAACATGTAGAAGGAGTAGTTTTTCATCCAAATAAGGAAAATTAAAAACATTACATTTTCATCCTCTTATGTGCTTCTCTTAAACATGCCAACATATAATTTAAAATACTCTACAGCCAGTTAATAACTCTATATTTTAGCAGAGTATGCTGTGAAATTTTTTCTCCTGCTTTCCTTTTTTAAATAATTATGCATCCCATTTTCCTTATTTATACCCTGTACCACTTTGGTACTGAGCTGTGGCACTCAGGTGAATAAAAGAAAAAACTGACAATCATCATCAAGGAGTCCTGGTGAATAAGCCAGTGGTTTTGATCGTCCTTTGGCTTGCTATAGAAAAAGTGAAGAGAGGAGGTAGGACAGTGGAAGAAGGTATGTTAGAAAAGGCTTGGAAAATTACTGCAATATAGAGTTATTCTTGGCTATCATGTGAATTGTTGGTTCCAGGACATTCTGTGTTTTTCTGCAGCTGAGCCTAAGTTAAGATAATTTCCAATGTAATAAACTTTCAGGATGCTTGCTGCCAGCCCATTGAACAACCTGTACAGACTATTCATATGCCTACAATTAAATATATCATAAGTACCTACATGTGACAAACTGTGGAGTATCTAAGTTACAATATGGTTATAAAATTTATATTGTCCTCCTCAAGTTTACAGCCATTTTCTAAAAGCATAACATCATAACTAGTAATTCTTGAACATATTTGCACTGTAAAGCATAAGCTCATAAGCGTATAAGTGCCCTGACAGATAAATTCTCGATCAGAAGACAAGCAAAAACGAAAAAAATTAAAAAAAAAAAAAAATCTTGATATATTTTCCATACAAAGAGCCATGTTTCCCCTCCCAGTACATTACCTCAGTAAGCCCCTTTCCTGTGAGCTGAAACACACCAGTTTTCTGTGCTGTCTCCAGGTGGGCTTTTAGTGCACTATTTCCCATCCTAACAGCTCTCTGTCAAGCACACAAAGTGCGAGTGTTGGTGTCAGCCAGTTTTACTCTGTGGTAGAGAACTGCAATCCAAAGTCTCTGTGATAAAGCAAAGGTAAAAAGTCATTTTATGTGCACTGTCCCCAACACTACAAGCATTCTGACACACTGAACCATTTCACTGCTGTGTTTTCATCTCCCTCATAGTTAAACCTAGAAGTCTAAAGGTTTACTTGAATTTACCTAGATTAAGGTGTCTTCCCTACAGCAGTTTGAGTACTGAAACTATGCAACAACCGCAGTTAAAACTAAGTGGAAAACCGCACATTTTCAATAGTATGCCTTTTCGAGGCCCCGCATCGCATCAAAAGGAGATTCTCTATGAAGACGGGCTGTGATTTCTGTGGCATCTAGCAGCGCTGGAATGCCAACACTGTTACTGTTTTATTTGTGTTTTTTGAGACCTTTATTTAGAGAGCAGACTCCTCTGCCTTGTCTATTAGCAGACACACGACACCCACCTCCGTAACCCCAGCGGGGCTTAATCCCAGGGCGCGCGGGTCACCCGGGATTAGTGCCGGGCTCGCTGGGTAGTGAAGCCTGCCACAGCACGTAGGCAGCCCGACACGAGATGCGCTCCGTGCCGCCTCGGGCCCCCCGGCAAGGGGCGAGGCCAGCACCGACCCGCGGCAGGCCGCGGTGCCCCCGCCCCAACCCCGTCCGGCTGCTCCGGCCCCGACCCTCGCACCGCCGGGGGCCGCCGGGCTCGGCCCGGCCCAACCAACCTGTCCGGCGCCGCTGGCAGACGCTCCGCGGCGGCGGAGCCCCGGCCCGTCCCCCGCGCTCCGCCCTTCCCGAACCGCCGCTCCGGCCGCGCCCGCCCGGAACCGGACGCGTGTCAGCGCCGTTCCTGCCACGCCCGCCATGGCGGCCCCCCGGCGCTCCCGCTCCCTGCGGGACAGCGGGACCCCGGCCGCGGCGGCCGCCAAGCCCAGCCCCCGGCCCCGCGGGGCGGGCGAGCCCGAGCTCGACTCCGATCTCGATGGCGATTCCGAGCTGGAGTGCAGCTCGTGGCTCAGCGCGGAGAGCGATGAGGAGCAGGGCGCGGCCTGGCCCGAGCAGCCCGGGGAGCCCTCGGCGGCGGCCTTGCTGCTGGAGCGGTGCGTGGCGACGGGAGCCGTGCGGCAGGTACCGCCCGGGCCGCGGGGAGACGGGAGCCGTGGGCAGCGGGGAGATGGGAGCCGTGCGGCAGGTACCGCCCGGGCAGTGGGGAGATGGCAGCCGTGGGCAGCGGGGAGATGGGAGCCGTGCGGCAGGTACCGCCCGGGCAGTGGGGAGATGGCAGCCGTGGGCAGCGGGGAGATGGGAGCCGTGCGGCAGGTACCGCCCGGGCAGAGATGGGAGCCGTGCGGCCGGTACCGCCTGGGCCGCCGGGATAGCGCCGCGCGGTTCTCGTTGCTCTCGTGAAGGGCGATGTGTTGCGGAGCGCGGGAGAGGAACAGCTCTGGACTGTTAAAAGCCTTTATGGAGCATTTGCTTGGTACGTTCGTGCTGCTGATTGCGTTTTTCCTGTTGTTTTACTTTCAAAGGAGACCTTGGATTTAACTTGCAGAAGAATGTCATGTTTTCCGAAATTCTCAGAGATGGAAAAAATTGTAAACATGGAAGCTGAAATCAACGAGGTACAGCCTTTACTATTGTCCGTGTACACTCACTGTATATACCTGGATATAATACAGGGCCCCAATGAAATACCAGACTGCCACATGCCATGTTGTTTCATGTTTTGAGGATTTTGTTAACAATTCAGCTGTTTAATGGGTGGCACTTTTTTTCCCCCCAGTGGCCTGAATTGTCATAAAACAAAACTATGAAACAGAAGCTTAAATAGGAGGATTCAGCAGGCTGTACCTTTGACTAAAGTGTTACCTGAAGTTTTTTGAAGAAACTGAACAATAAAGAACAACTTGTAGTTGACTTCAGGACACAAAAAAGTGTCTCTTTATACGCAATATTGTTGGTTAGCGGGTGGTAAGCTCAGACATTTCATACTGCCTTAATTGGCTGTTGCGTTTTATTTTACAAAGTTAGTTAGACACTACATAGACTATGAAACTGCTTTGTAAGAGATGTAAATAGGAGGGACATGGGTTTTAAGGGTAGACTATTCGGTGATTAAGGAATTGGCAGGAGAAGAGCACTGGACACAGCAGAAGGTTGGGATGTCATTCAGAGGAAGTGGGCAAGCGTGAGAAGTAAATAGGCTCACAAGAACCTCATGAGGCTCAAGACCAAATGTGGGGTCCTGCACCTGGGTCAGGGCAATCCCAGATGTGAGTACAAACTGGGAGATGAACTCATTGGGAGCAGCACTGTGGAGAAAGACTTGGGGTTTCTTGTGGATGAAAAGTTGGACATGACGTGGCCATGTGTAGTCACACCCCAGAAAACCAACCACATCCTGGGCTGCATCAAAAGTAGTGTGGCCAACAGGGCCAGGAAGGGGATTCTTGTCTTCTGACCTTGTGAGACCCCACCTGGAGTGCTGTGTCCAGGTCTGGGATCCTCAGGACAGGAAAGAAGTGAACCGTCTTGAAGCAGTTCCTGAGGAGGGCCATGAAGATGGTCCAAGGGCTGGAACGCCTCTCCTACAAAAACAGACTGAGAGAGCAGGGATTGTTCAGCAGCCATCCAGTACTTAAAGAGGGTTTAAGAAAAGAGGGAGAGTGACTTTTTCCACAAGCAGATAATGCTGGGACAAGGGGGAATGGTTTTAAAGTAAAAGAAAAGAGATTAGATTAGATTAGATTAGATTAGATTAGATTAGATTAGATTAGATTAGATTAGATTGACATTAGGAAAAAATTCTTTACTGTGAGGGTGGTGAGACACTGGAACAGGTTGCCTAGAGAAGTTGTGGGTGCCCCATCCCTGAAGGTGTTCTGGGCCAGGTTGGAGAGGCGCTGAGCTACCTGGTCTAATGGGTGATATCCCTGCCTATTGGCAGGGGCTTGTAACTAGATGATTTTTAAGGGCCTTTCAACCCAAGCCATTCTGTCATAAGTTCTGTGGTTTAGGAATGAATTGCAAGATCTGTCTTTTCCAGCACAAATCTCCAAATCATTTAGGTTGGTGTTTTTAAACAGTCTTTTTCTTATTGACCACAAAATCCCCACCAAGTAGTAGAAACTCTCCAGGGAGCAGGGTAACATGTTCTTGAGCTAATGCTTGCTCTCTTTCACACACATGTTCTCCCTATGCTGCTGCTTTCTCCCTTTCCACTTCCTCCTCCACCCCAAGAGAGTCAACAATGTCTGGATAAGTATGTTAAAAATGCATTTTCATTTGATGTTATTATCATTGTAGATAAAATTGAAAATAGAAATGATGCAGTTGGAAAATGAGACAGCAGACATTACTCACCCTTTTTACTTAGGTAAGTGCAGTTGTACTGTAGGAAAATGAAGAGTCTTAAGTTAGATGCAGATTAATGTTTCATCTGAGTACATAACCCTTCTAGAAGTTACTGCAGCAGTCATCTCTGAATAACTTGTTCAAGGTGGTAGGTGTTTTATTAACACCTAAAGCATGTTTCCATACTATTTGCACTCTCTACTGTCTCATAGAAGCTGCATGTGTAACTCATTCTCCAAAACAGTGTGGGAGGTGTGGTCAGCTCCCCAGGGTCAGTGGATCATCAGTTCTGAGATCATCAGCAACCATTGGCCTGCATGTGCTATTCTGCTTCTTTTCCAGAAACTCAGTGTATTTCTGTTGCATCTCTATCCCCCTAAACTTATTACATTTTTAATTTAGCACTTAGGGAGCACGTGCATTGATTTATTATAATTGCACATTTTGTCCACTCTGATTTTATGTGTACTTAAAAACTTTCTAGTTTGCTACTTTTGTGCTAGACTAGTGAAATCTATTGTGATATTTCATTGCTATGGTATAGTTGACTTCATCCCATAGAGAATTTACTTAAAATTATAGATAATGTAAAACAATTATATCTATCTCTGAAATGTAGGTATTGTGACTTTGAGTGCATGTTGATACTAAATTATATATGCTCCAACAAAAGCCATTCTGATTAATGTCTCTTGAATCTAAGCTGTCCACTGCAGTAGATCAGTATTTTTCTTTCTGTCTTCAGGAAAAATTTTGCTTTTGTTTTAGCAAGAGATTAGGTTCAACATTTTTATTTTATAGGGAAAAAGTGCGAGATTTTGCAAGACATGAACAGGCACTTGGAAGCCATTCTGAAAGAGAAGAGGGACCTCAGAAAGAGGTTGATCAAACACAGATGTGAAGAAAGCCTGCCTATTGAAGCTACTTTTCACAAGTAGGCACAAAGAAAATATTTTTTCTGGTTTTCTTGAGTCCCAATTTGAACTAACAGACAATAAAAATCATATGTTCCAAATAATTTTTCCACTGATAAAAATAGACATAAAAAATGGTAGCAGAACCTCAGCTAAAAGCTGGTAGTTTACTCATTGATAAATTAATAGAAAGGTAGTGATACATATTTTATGAATATTTACTTAGGTTATTGGTCTTGTCTTTAGAAGTCTACAGAACAAATTGTGATGCATTGTTTTAAACAAATGTGCTACATGCTGGATTTGTTATACTTCTCCCAAGCAGGAGTTGTTACTTTAGCACTGGGTATCTTCCTTCCACTGTTGCTTGCTTAGAATTAAATGTGAATGATTCTCAGACAGGCATAGTTTTACAAGTATAGTCCTTCTTCTTACAGTCTAAAAATCTAGCCCAGGTACTGAAGGAGTGGCTATTCACTTCTGTAATTCCTGCCCTGCTTGTTGCTAAAGGCTATACAAAAAGTGTAATTGCAGAAAAATTAATTAAGATTGTTAGAAGTTTGCATAAAGCTGGAAAAGGGGACTAAGAAAAGTAGGGCAATGAAGAAAGAACTTATTAAGTTCTTCTTTCTTGAAGAAAGAAAGTATTAAATTCTTGTTGTTTAGCGCAAGTTTTGAGCTCATTTTTGGTTACAGGTGTATAGTAGAGTTGTTGGCTGAGGCTGTGACTTTCATTGAGAAGCTTGAAAGCCATTTGCAGTCTGTGAGAAGCATCCCTCAGGTACCACACATGATGAGCAATATGGTGAGTAGTGAAAGAACTGAACCTGCTGTCTTCTCCAGCATGAAGAATGCAATGCAATTTGGTTGTTTAGGTTACTTCTATGTCCTGATAGACTGACAGGATATATAGAGATTAAATCCAACCCTTTTCTTTTTCAGGACACCACTTTGTCAAAAACGAAAGTGCTCATGATAGAGTTGGAGGAGCTGACAGAGCAAATACTGAAATGGGAAGAACTGCAAAAGGAAGTATATTCTAACAATGTCTGCAATACTGCTGACTTGGACTTTGGCTTATCTTTAGCCTAACAAATTTTCCTCAAGTAGGACGACTACTCAAAGAACTACATTCTTACAGTCTTCTGTGAAAACTGCAACAGAGATGTCTTTTAATCCAACAGAGACTTCATAGGTAGTTATATTTCTGTTATTAAGTTACAGTTCTCCAACTATTTACTAAAAAAAAGGACAATGAGCAGTAGTTCATAGGAAGACAGAGTATTGAGAAGTTCCTTTTTGAAATAGTTGGATAAGAGTCCCTTGGAGCCTGTATCTTCAATGGAAAATTGTTTTGATATTTTTTTTGCACTTGCTATAGTATCTTTATTAATTTTTGTAAGCATCTTGATAAAACACTGTATTTTGTATGTTGCCATAAAACTTTAATAAAAGTACTAGATTTCAAAAGCTCTGTTTCTTGCTTTTAATATTGTTATAAAGTTCTATAATTAAAATTATAGAGCAAAGTATTACTTCCAAGCTTATGCTTCCATAGGAGTTCCAGTCAATAAATTAAATTAGTTTTAAATTACAGTTTGTTATGACTGATGTGGTTTTGTGGGAAAGCAGGAAATTCTTCAATGATAGTGATAATATATTCTTCAGATTCTCTTTTTCTGTTGCTTGCCCTGTTTTTTGGTGTCCCACTCGGAATAAAACTTTTGTACCATGAGTAAGATTGACAGTTTATCAAAAGCATTGGTTATCCCAGTTTGTAACCCACATGAGGAGACAGGTTGGTGCAATGTCACTGGCAGGACATCTATGAACCAGTGTAGCTGGTTGTCTTTGGAGGGTTTGTATTCAGGATATGGAGTAGACTGAAGTGGTGCAGATGTATTCCTTTCTACTCTTGTATCATTTGTTATGTGAAAATCCAGCCTGTTGATTTCTGTTGCTGAATAAGAGCATTCTGCTTTTTCAAAGTAACCACTGGGTGGCTCAGTACCACAAAGTTCACAAGTTTATCTGACTATTGCACATAAAGCAGAATTAAGGAAGAAATCTTTGGTTTTGTTGAGGCCACTCTATTATTACTTACTTGTATTTGGTCTATATTATATTTGAAATTTTCTGATAATCTCTTTTTAATCTTTGTAACCATTCTGCAGAGTGTGATGACAAGACATCCAATGCAACAGTTCTCTAGTGTACTGTGTAAGCTATAGCGGATGTTCCTCTCTGCTCCCATCGAGAAGAGGACAGAAACAATTTTAATTAGGTTTAAGCAGGATATCACTAGGTAGACTCTAAGAATATAAACCGCATTTATGCAACAGGCATTAATGGGGTCTTTGTGTCAACACTTGCTGTACGTCAATACAGGACTTGAGTCCAAAGTCTCATGCCACTGTTGTTTCAGAAGTGGAAATTAGGGTTTTCCACACAACTGCAGAGAACCTGACATTTTTAATGAAAATGCTTTGCACATTCTGTGACACAGGAGAAAACAGAACAATAGGTGATCATAGGTTGGACTCAATGAGTCATTTCCAACCTAATTGATTCTGTGATTTTTGTGAGTAAACCTATTCTATAAAACCTATATAGAATTCTATATAGGTTTTCTATATATAGAATTCTAAACTTATAGAAACCTATTTTAGGTTTAGATTCTCACTCTGTCTTACAGTGATGATTTAGACCAGGCACTAAAACTGTTGTAATTAAATCATTTTAGATCACAATGGAAACATTCTAGTCAGTTTGTTCATTGTAATTCTTTGAAATACGTGGTCTTGCCATATCCCAAAGAGCTGAGCATATTTTCTTCTTTTACTGTATCTACTTTTGAAGAGTTGACTGTGGAGTTGGTAGAGTTTAGATAATTGCCATTTGCCTGTGATGTGTCAATTAATTCTTTAGTGTGATTTCAACGGATAAATCCATTGAAGTATACAATGATTCACAGCTTGTAGGTATTAATTTTAGCACTTCTGTGGTGAATGGAGTATTGGGTCCCAAGGATCTATCCCATTCTTCACTTAGGAAAAGTTCTGAAATATGGTGCCTTTTTCATTTAGCTATAACATTTCTGGAGTTTAAGGCAAACTGTCTCATGAAAATATAACTATACTTAAAGCAGTTAAAAGTTAAACAGAAGTTGTTTAAATATAAAAACAACATAGGATTCTTAAACTCTCATATATGATATTTAAATATAGCTCAGTTTATCATATTTTGAAATGCAAAACCAGGAGTCCATTTAAAAATTTGCATTGGCAAATGGAATTGTCAAAATCAAATAGGACCTGCCTATTGAGCCTGGCATCTTTTTTTATGCCCATGCTACTTGCTCTTGCATCTTCCTGTAACATCAGTAGCTGACAGTGACAGTATTCTGAAAGAAATTTTTAAAATACTTTCCGTGATTTTCATATTACTCTTAAGTACAAAACTTCCACCAGTGCAACAACTAGCTATTTATTTCAGTTAAAGTTCTTTGGAAGTTTCAAAATTTTCTTTTAGCTCTTAAGTACGACCCACATCAAGACTGGATGTTTCCGAAGGACTCTAAAACACTTGAGACCTTTCCTTTAGCACTAATAAGGAGGGGATACTTGCCTTCCCTAAATTCCTGTCAAATGAATGTGGAGGGATTACAGGGCTCGTCCCTAGTGAGGGCTTTAAGGGCAGCACCCTTCATCGTGTTGGCGGCGTTGAGCTCTCGGGTAAAAGAGGTTCAAACAGGCGTTTTTGGGGGTGCCGCTCTCCTGTCTCAGGCTAAAAGCGCGGTTCGGATGCTGGAGAGGCTGCGCACGGCAGCTCCGGGCAGCCTTTCCCCAAGCGCCTGCTCTCGGCCGGGGGAACTTCCCGTGCGCCCCTCACGGGGCTGCCTGGGCCGGCTCTCCTGCCCTCCCCTCCCCGGCGGGGCGGCTCCGCTCCTCCCGCTCCTCCCGCTCCTCCCGCTCCTCCCGCTCCTCCCGCTCCTCCCGCTCCTCCCCGTCCCGCGGGATGCGGGGCCGGGGCTGCCGGCCCTCAGCCGAGCCATGGCCAACGTCAAGGTCGCCGTGCGGGTCCGGCCTCTGAGCAAAAGGTGCGGCGGGGCGCGGCGGGGCGCGGCGGGAGGCTCTGCTGGCCGGGGGAGCGGGGGCCGCCGGTCCCGGCAGCCGGGCCGGGATCGCCGCCCTGGAGCGGCTCAGCCGCGGCTGAGACAGGGACAGCAGGACCTGGGGAGCTCGGCGGTACGGCAGGAGGAGTGGCAGCCTCCCGCCGCCTCGCTAAATAGCTTGGAAAGTTTGCTTGGAAAGGTCACCCAGTGGGGCTGTTAGGCTAACTTCCTTCTTCCTGAGCTCCCCAAAACAGGACAATTGTCATGCGGTGTCCAGGAATCTTCCCTTCCCCTTCTGTTGTTGCTGTTTTTTCCAGTGGGAGGCAGAGCCGGATATTCCCATTGTCGCCCAGCTCCGCTCCCTCCCCGGCTTGCTTGGCTCCAGTGGAAATCCCAAAAGCTACGCATTACAGCTTGAAGACAACTCCCACAAAAAAAAAAAAAAAAAAAAAAAAAAAAAAAAAAAAAAAGATGCCGTAGCACAATGCTCTGGTGTTATTTGTATATAACACATGCTTAAAACCTTGCAGACTTTGGAAATTCGGAGCAGAAAAGAAGGAGAAAAAGTGAGCAGCCCAAATGTCAGTGGCTGGCAATTTGCTCCTCCTGTTAGAGAAATGCTATAGCACTCCAGCAGGAATGGCTTGAAAAGTGGTACAAGCTCTAAGGGCCAGTCTTGGATTTGATGCTGCCTTTCTTTTTGGCACGAGTCCCTCGTGTTGTCTTCTGACTGCACGGACTTTTGTGATAAATAACTCTTTCATGCAGTAGAGAAAATGATTTTTGAAGATTTGCCCAGCCAGAAAACTAGCCTAGTCATTTAGCCAGCAGTACACTAGCATATTTTGAACTCTTTTGTTCTTATTTGGCTATGGATTTTTATTTTATTTTCAAAAAAAGACTCTAGAGACTTTTGAAGAAAATGAAAAATCCCACCCAAAATGAGCCTGCGAGTATTAATAGAAAGGGAAGTGCGCAAACTAATTTACAGGTTTTCACATTTTGCCTTTATGTCAAAGCTAACTGATTTTAAAGATACTCTGTGTACAATTTTGTTTAAAATCGTGCTTGGGTTATATAGGTCTGATTTGTTGAACAGCTGTGAATGGAACAGAATTTAATAGATATTATCTATTAAATTATTATCTGGCCTATTAAGAAGAGTTACAGCATTGAAGTAAGCCTTTTATTGTTAACCTTTTATTGTTTGGTGTTGCCGTAGTGGTGGATATATTAGTTGATTGTTATCATTATCTTCCCTCTCACTAGATCTGCTTGGTGAGGAATGTTGTACCACATCTGTATTAATGTTTTTCCTGCATGGGCTGCTTTAAATAGTGCATAACAGTGAATAGGTCATTATAGCAATAAACAGCACCTGTAACTGTCAGATAAGGTGTGATAAACAGGAAAACCTTTGATGTAGGCAGTGTGGGCCAGCTGTTTGGTGAGGGATGTAGTTTGGAGAGGAAGGTAGGGTTAGAGAGGTGGGCAGCTTCTTGCACATGGGAGGAATTAATCTGAGGCTGAAACAGAAATGTTTGTATGAAGGTGAGAGTGGAAACTCAGGGGATAATGCAGGGAGAAACTGGTAATTAATTCCATCTACTCAACTCGTGATGGTGAAACAGATGGGATGGGAAGGGAGGCAGAGATCAATCGCATGGTGTCTGACCCCAAAAGCAATAGACCAGTTGCACCTTCTACTGTGCTGCCTCGGCAAAAGCATTTTTAGATGGATTTTTGTATTTTATAAATGGGAAGAGGAAGTGGTTGTATATTCTCTGTGAAGGCTCTGACATGAGAACTTTCTTTCTAGCCTTGAACAAAATTGATCAAATGTAATGACTTAGGGGCAAATACCAAATATATGAAGGCTTCGAGTAAACTTGATAGACTTTGGAAAAAAACTCTAAGTGGGCTTAAAGGTCTGTTCTCTTCCAGCTTCTTATATTGTTTCCATGCTGTTATCACACAAATCTCTTGCTATCTCTATACACGCACTCTGCAATTGCCCCAACAGGGTACCCATGTTGCCACAGCTTCTATGATGTTTTAGGTGTTTTAAAAAGGGAGACTTCCTGCAGTAAAAATTTCAGTTCAACTGGATTGAAGTACTGTAATTTGTACACTCTCCATTCCAGCCAAAAATACTAAATCTGGCTTTTAAGAGTACCAGAAGCTGGAAAGCTGCAGGCAAAGGCTAGAACTCATGGGTCAGTTGGTTGTTTCTAGGCTATCATATGAACTTCCTCATTGCTGCTCTTCATTTAATTTACAGTTGCAGATGAACCGTGGTTTTGCATCTGAAAATTCAGATATTAAAAAATGTTCATTCAGGAGCTGTCAAAATTCT